TATTACCTTGCATTTACTCAACGACACATCGTACTCATCAGCCACTGCGTCCTTCAACTGACCGTCTTCTTCGGGTACCTCCGACCGGTCCAGCCGTTTTTTTTTTTAATTTTCAGCTCTTCTGTGTCATCCTACGTTTGCCTTTGCTATTGACGATGCCGTTCCTCCGCCTGCATGTGTCGAATCGCTACCTGTACTGCATCGCGCTTTAGTCTTAAGTTCGGATTCCCTTCCTTTCCGCAGGCTCAATCTCCCACCCCAGTTTTCTTTGCTCCTGTCATCGGCCACATCACCATCCCCGCACGGGAATGTCTGTTTCGTTTACCTCCCCCTTGGCCTTCCCAAATTTTATATCCTCTCCTCCTCGTTTCCCTATTTTATCTTGAGGTAGATTGGCATAACAACAGATCGGGCATTCGAGACTTCTTTATTTGTACAGTTACCATAAGCTTTTACTGCAGTAGCATGATGTACGTGGACTGCTAGGACACATCTTTCCTTCAAGGAAATTGTACTCTTTGCAAATATGGTTCCGCTCCTTTGTGCTCTTCTTATTCCAGACCTATTGCACTTAAAGGTGAAACCATCAGAGTGTTGCTGATTGAATTTCTGCTGACGCACGTATTCCTGCAGCGACAGATAAGTCTTTATGGAGGGAGTTTCCTTTCCCGAAGATAAGGGAAAATCGTAGTCGATCCAAAAATTCACTTTAATTCACCGTCACTCGTGCGGTCCCCTCCTTCTTGAAGTAACAGTGGTGGGTGGCGGTAAGATCGCAGTTCGTAACCAGATATTGTGAGTTGATACTGTCGACGTACTTACTTATAATCAGCTAGTGTGTTTCCTTTATCGAGGAAACTTGTTTTCAGTAGGTGTGTTTCTACTGAGTTAAGCAGGTCGCCTGTTTTGGTCAGGTTGTTAGGCTTATTGAGGGTTAGGGTTAGGCTTAGGATTAAGTTTTAGGGTTAGGGTTTACGCTTACGGGCTAGGGTTTTAGGGTTAGTTTTAAGTGTTGAGGTCAGGCTTAGGTTTTAGGGTTAGGTCTTAAGGCAAAGGTTAGGGCTAGGTTTAGTGGTTAATGCTAGGGTTAGGGTTAGGTTATTGGGTAACTTTTAGGGTTAGATTTTAGGGTCGAGGTTTGGGTTAAGGTTAGGGCTGGGGTTTAAGGTTAGGTTTGTGATTTTTCGGTTAAGTTTAGAGCTTTAGGGTTAAGTTAAGGGTTTGCTTTTAGGGTTAAAGTTGGGGGTGGATTCTAGGGTTAGGGTTAGGTTTTAGGGTTAGGGTTTTAGTGTTAGGGTCTTAGGTTACAGTTAGGGTTAGGTTTTTGGGATAGTGTTTTGGTTAAGGTTTTACGGTTAGCGTTAGGCTAGCCTCCTCATTCCAGGCTACGAACTGCGATGTGACCGAAATTGGCTTCGGTTCTACAACGTATTATGCGCAGTAGTTATGGCCCGTTCATCACTTTTAAATAACTTTCTACGTTTTTGGAGCACACCGTGCCTTTTTTGACATCTTCGTTAGAATATTGACATTTTTGCTAGAATTTCATAGCTTACGTCTCACTTTCGAACCCTTTTCATAAAGCCGTTTATGTTTTATCGCTATTTTCATTACTTTTGGCAACCTTGTCATTTATCTTACTTTATCATCGCAGTTTTCGCGTTCTTTTTTGGTTCACTATTTACCACGCCCATCTGGCACCCCCTTTCTACGACATTAACGTGCGCACTTTATTCCTATAGGTTATTGGTCTATTCGGTTCCGTTTTAGTGACCTTGACTGTCCAGCTGTTTCCTTTTCAAGCGTCTTTGGTTTTTAAGGTTAGCATCCACACTTTCTAGTCTGCAAGGCCATTACATTACGATTTTTGTATTCATTTAAACAACTTCTGCACTATTGGGGTTATTCTTTCGCATAACAGCATCACTGGCCGATGTTTTCAACGGTTTAACCCTTAATACCAGGGTCCCCGTATTACACGCGCCTTTCTTTCCCTGTCTGGGACCGGAACAGCGTTTTCGATCTTTGCCACGAAAATTATCTATGAGTTATTTTTAACTACGTTCTTTCCAGCGGTCGGAAGAAAGCGCATTTAAAAGCAGGCATTCTGGAATGACAGACATATTATGGAATTATGCTGTATGATAGTTGGTATTACTACCTAATCCGATTAAGTATTTTTTTTTTTATCGAAAATGAATTTCAGAATTTCGAGTAACGCTTTATAAAATATGCCACCCTCTGTAGCCAGGTCACCCTAATTAGAGGATTTCATCCTCCTTAGCATCATGCATTTCTTGTCACTAGTACTGCGAGGGAAACGAGGCAGTAATATGACATGACGGACTGCCTCCATGCATGTGTGTTTACCTGTTCCGAAGGAGGAGGGGCGAACGATGAAGAGTGTATATCAACTAGAAGATCTGACATCTCTGTGTGAAAACCTACAACGATGAACGCCCTTACGGCCATAGACTGTAGACCATCTGCAGGTGTGGCCACCAAACGATAACAGGAAGGTAGTATCGAGTCGCATCCTAGAAAGTCTGGGTGAAACTTGACAGTGGATAGACTGACATGGACTTAAAGTCATGTGTTGAGTACCACAAAGTACTTCAGAAAACCATCCTAGCACGACAGTCTGAACGTCGTCGATAATGATGTCCACCATGTACCCCACAGCTAGGCAAGAACCGGCACGGTGTCTTGCGCGTGAATCAGGTTATAGTGGTAGTAAGCTTACACAGCACCTACCGCACTCTCTCTTCTCCCCTCACCTGAGTCAAAAAGACCGGAGACGGCGGTGGGCGCAGGCGGCTGGCACGACCGTACCTGAACCTAGGCATACCAACACATCCCCATATCCGCAACAAACACCACCAATAGACGGGTCGGAACGAGGAAGATGACACGACCCTTACATCCAGTCGGAGCGCAACCGCATCTACCGGCAGGGAACAGCCCGCGCATACCAGGCTGCGAGGGTCATGGTTTGCTGAATCATGGCATAGCAGACGCACATAATCCATAAGGCCCAGAAGCGTGACATGCAGCCTTGCATTTAGCCTGGACCATCGCTCTTCAAAAGCCGCGGTAACCAGTCAGTCATCAACTGGGGGGCACCACGCTGAAAAACACACTCCTCACATGCGTAAGAGTGTCGGAGAACACTTTAAGGAGGAGCCGTGATAGCCCGGCTATCAGCCCACCAGTCCGCCAGTCCATACAAACGACAGTTCCACAGTCGACTCCGATGATGTCTAGCGTGTGCTACGTAGCAAGTTAATGCAGGCACAGTGAATTTCGCGTGAATTAATTTACAGTGATAGTATACCTGCGCAGCATCTACCGCACTCTCTCTTCCCCATCCCCCACCTGGACCCGATGTCAAGACAGAGTCAAGAAGACCGGAGGGGGGAGGGCGCGAGTGACTGGCACGGCCGGACCCGCACCTAGGCGTGCCACCACACCCCCTGGTCCACAATATACACTTGACGTGGACTTTTCGCTTACAACAACACACCAATATAGATCAGAAGGACGAGGATGACTGGGCAGCCATGCCCATCACATGTATATTTTGCGGGAACGCAAACGCATCTGGCGTCATGGAACCAGGTGCCAGGGAACTGCCAGCGCACACCAGACTGCGAGGGCCATTATTTGCTGATTCTGGCATACCAGACGCTTTCAGACCTTTTACTCAACACAAAAACGCACAACTTGGCAGACTGCGTGGACTGAATTTAGGCGTCAGTCGCCATCCTTCCAAGCCACGGTGCTTTGCGCGCCGTCATAGTCTCAAATTCGGATCACCCGTACATCAGAGGATCCGCATGGAGAGGAAACCGAGAAGCACACTTTCCACTTGCATGAGAGGCATCAGTTGCACGCTTTTGTTATGTGATGTTGGGTGATGTCGATGTGTGGTTCAGGCGCTGATGAGGGCAGCTGTGATGGTGTGGTATGGCCGGCAGTGATCTGCCGTAGATTTTCGTGAATACTCATGTGATCTAGTAGGCCCATGCTGTGGCTGAATGTACGAGGACAGTTGGAGCAGTTGAAGCGGACGCGCCGAGCGAATGCTGGTGCTCCAGGCACTTGCTCGCATGTGACCGACCAGGCCGATGTTTGGGGTGAGTGTGCGATCTCACTGAGGACAGGTTATGACCGCATCACAAATGTTGACAATGGTACAGTTGATGGTTGGTGGTGCGTTAGGGTTGTATGCATTGGTGATGGGAGGGGGTGGGAGCCGCCGCAGCGTGACGTTTAAGATGGTGGAGGATGACAAAAGAGGAAATAGGAGCCCCTTTGTGATTGATAATCGACATGGGAACAAGGCAGAAGTGGACGACCAAGCATCAGTCGGTGTTGTCGGGGTGCTGCAGTTTGTCCGAATATGTCCAAGAAGACCGATTGGTGCCCGGAACGTCCGCTAACAGCGTGTGTAGATTGCGAGCGATTGAGTTTTGTCGTTACGAAATGGGGGAAGTTGAGATTTGTGATCCTCGTGTTTGGCTTTGGCGGAGGTTACGCAGTAGGCTTCGTAAATTGCTGTGCCTGTCGTCTATCCGCAAAAGACGACCTCTCCAGCATATTTGCTGTTGCCTTAGCATGGCGTGGATGCTGAGGATTCCTGTGCCTTCCAGTACTTTCGTGCCGGGGATGCGGTCCTGCCACCTCAGTTTTAGTATCCGCCAAAGGTAGCTGGATTGGAGATGGTTGAGCCTTCACTTTGCTTCTTACACCCCCTCCTTGTCCCCGCTCCACACAGTAGCGTCGGCGAGATGACAACTTTGCATATCTTGAGCTTGGTTCTGAGTTGGAGAAAGTGACGATTTCAGATGGTTTTCTTCCAGCGACCGAAGCTTGGCCAGCTTTGGTGATCCGGCTGGCCACCTCGTCGTCGATTTGGTGCTTCGAGAAAGGATACTGCACAGGTAGGTGATGTCCACGGTTTGCAGTTGAGTGTCGTTCACGCTGATGTGAGGTGTATTTTAGGCAGCGCCGGGTGACGGCTGGTTCATAACCACCGTTTTCTCCGTGTTGATGATCGGGCCAAAGTTGTCGCAGGCGGCGACGGTGAGGTCCATGCTCCTTTGCATGCCCCCTTCTATAGTTGCATAGAGAGTGAAGTCGTCGGCGAAGAGAAGTTCACGGGCGGAAGTTGCAGATACACGCGAGTGGAAGTGCATCTGCTGACAGTTGAGAACTTGGCCGTCCGTCCTGTAGTCGGCGCGGATCCCGAGACGTTCGTCACGGTGGGCATCCATTATCATGGCAGAGAAAATGAGACTGAAGTAGCTAGGAGCAAGGACGCCGCTCTGCTTCACTCTGTTAGTCACTGCGGTTGCCTCTGAGACGGCTGAATTTTCCGTGACGCGCGTCGTCGTGTCCTTGTGGACCTGACGCATGATCTAAATGAATCGCTCGGGATAGTCGAATTTCTTTATGACTTTCCACAGTCCTTCACGATTCGCAGTGTCATGGGTTTTCGTCAGACTCAGAAATGTAGAGTAGAGACGGGTCCGCATCTCCTGACACTTCTCCTGCAGTTGGCGGACGGCGAGGATCATGTCCGGGAATCCGCGGTGACGGTGGAAGCCGTACTGGCTTTCCGCCAGGAGTCCCTGTTCCAAATAACTGTTGAGGCAGCTGAGGAGAACGCGAGCAAAGATCTTTCCGGCGATTATTAGCAGGGAGATCCCTCGGTGGTCAGAGGAGAGAGTGGTATGAGCGGAGTGGTAGTGAAAGGAGGGAGGGGTAGAGAGGTGGGGAACAGAGCTTCGCTCTCCCTGACTGAGCTAACTGATTGCTGAAATTCAAACGGTGAGCAGGCAGGTTCAACAGAACGGTATTTAACTTACCTGATGATCACTTAACTTGCAGCCTCCTGCGTGATTGCAAATGGGACCTTACATTAAAGGTGACGAGGAGTTACAAGTGAGAGTTGGGTTCCAGTTCGTGGACGCCAAACGCAGCCTACACGTGCAAACAAGTGAGCGACCTACCACGACCATTACCTGGACACCCCTACGACCCCTATACGGATAGACGTCCCATTTGTCTGCGCAAAGTGACTCGCTGAAAAATGACCACTGACACGGCAAGAAACGTCTAGTGTCGTTTATCGAGTCTGTTGCAGTTGCGGACAGAGAAACTACGTCGGAGAAACCGGAAGACTATTTCGAACGCGGATGGCCGAACATTTTGCAACAGTACGGAGAAATGACGCCAGCTCTCAAGTTGCGGCTCATTCGACGAGATTCGGCCATAATTCAAATTCGACGAGGCCGAAATTCTCGCTAGAGGTGAAAACCGCGTGATCTGTGAGCTGCTTGAGTCATTGTTCACTGGCCCCCAGTCTATTATTAAGTACAGCGACTTTCCCCTTCCATACTAGGTCCTGAGACTTCGCCAAGGCGGAGAGATTAGCCACGCGGAGAGCGCACATGTGAGCGCTGCTCCCAACACCAGGGTCGGTGGGTCAGATGGTCGAGCAATCATCACACCCACATCCAACACTCGTGATGAAGTTGCAGCAATTAACGACGTGAATGTCGGCCAGTAAACAATCATTGCACTATGTGCAACAATCCCTGATGAAGGGGAGGGAGGAGCCGTAAATATTCATAGGTATGGGGTGGCATGACAAGTGCATCCTATAACTACCGCAGTCCTTGTGCATGAACCAAATGTAACTGCTATTGTCTATGTTTATGGGTTCGAGCGGGAATCCGAAACGTCAGGCGAATAACGTTCTTGTCCCAGCAATCGTGTCTCCTTTTTCTTTTCCTCATCGTTAGGTCTGCATTGTTGTTGACCATTGGTCGTGCACTTTCTATACTTCGTATTATCACCGTGGACTCGAAAAAGTCAATAAGATTCCATGTGGCACTTGTAATGCAGTATATTGTGGTCAAGCCGACAAAATCGCTTCTGCACGCCTACATGAACACCAATTGGCAGTGAAGAGGCGGGACCACTTATTCCAACTCACCATGCATACTCTTAAGACTGGGCACAAATTCGCTTGGGATAAAACACGCATTGTCGGTTCCTGCCTACATAAGAAAGGGCGAGAATTCCTAGAGGCCATTCACTCTGATGATTCATCCATCAATCGACACATCGATCTTGACGCCATGTACACAAATCTAAAGAAAAAATTGAAAAGGCAATGGCCAATCAAGACCTGACATCAGCCCACAGCATTAACCCATCCTCAGCCATGACAGAGCAATAGCACTTTTTGGGCATGTTTGCATTTTGACTGTTTCTTCACACTTACTACACGTCTAAAGACGAGTTGGGGAATCAGACTCAAAATTTACGAAATAAAGTTTGTTCATTTTCCCAAAGGACTGATTCTTCTTTGAACTATGTTTCTTGTGATGTCCATCTTCCAGTACATATGCATATACCAGGATACTTCACAAAGCTATCATCTTATGGGTTAAGGCAAATCCAATGTAAATACATATATGACCTTGGACTTTACTGACCCTACCTCACATGGAGTACACATTGTGATAAGGAAGTGAGCCGTTCTTCACATTGTAATTAAGCGCTCAAACTCGTTGAAGACGTATTTGTTCACATGGGTCTTTTGACTCCTCTAATTTTTGAGGCACTACGAAGAACTTACGTCACAGTTAAATGCATCATGACCTGTAAATTCAGAACGTAAGTGTTAAAGGTTTTTTCATATTTTTTTGCACTCCACACTTGCCCTTGGGAGGGTAAAGATCAGAAGGGTTCTGTAAAGGCAGTAATTTGAGAGACGCTTTTTGCGCAGTACGCCAGTGGTTGACCAAAAATAAGTTGTTCACTTAATTGGCCGACTTTGAAAAGTCAGCCCAAATTCTGCTCTGAATTGTGAAAGAAGTAATATCCTATTCACAGTAACTGCTTGACGTCATAACTAAGAAAAAATATTATGTTCTGCCCAGTTGTCGAAATTGTGTACACATGACCTTTTAACTAAAAAAAATCGGAAAAAAGTTCCTGTACATGCTGTTAAACAAGAAAATGTTGAACGATCGAAGGCAACGGCATCAGTTCAAAAACTGTTCTGTACACCAGGTTGTTTAATTTCAAATTTGCTTTCCGGATTAAAGTAGTTAAAAGCTCTCCGAAACAAACTACCACGGCTATTTTTTTGCATATGGAATATGGCAGAACAATATTAATTTCGTTGTACTGTTTGGGTCCAGCAGAATGAGCAGCATGAATGATCGTTTGAGCGTCTTCAAATCTCTCAAATGGGCAAGTTGGCTAAAAAACTAAATGATTCTTTTTGTTGAATATCAAGCACAAAGCAGGCGTCGGTTCCTGTTAAATGAGTATAACTTATAGTTCTCATGCATTCGTCAAATGAAATATAGCGGAATCCATATCGGTATCGGAAATTAATAAAAGCGTGCCAGTGACCTAATGAGCTCTTTATTCTCTCGCTTTTCAAGTCGGAACAGTGTAGGGTTTCTAAAAGTAGCGCACTATGATGTCGCAATTATTTCGAGAATGTGCCCCCTGAAAGGCAGTAGTGGTGTTCACCAATCCATTTCGAACCCGTATTCTGTCCCGAAATAAGCCCCTTGTCAATGAGTTCTGAAATCTCACCTAATTAACATTTAGTCAGGGCTGGACAAGACAGCCATTTAGCATGAAACAGTTTAAGACCATTTTGTGGCGCATTCTAACAACGTGCAAAAAACTCACTTTTCAGCTGATGTCTTTCAAACTAAAACTTGTTCAGATGGAACTGTGAATGGGGAGTACGCCGCAAATATTATTCCTCTTAAATTACCATTAAGATGCTCTCGATTAGGCATTTTTTCTAACTTTTGCGCTATTTTCACCGTCTATTCAGCCACCGACATTTTGTCAAACTAATGAAAGAGTTTTAAAATGTTTTTAAACAGTGCACTCGATTCACTTCCGGTGTGCGCCACTGGCAACTCTTGTAAACAGACAACGGACACCCGTTTTCGTGAAAAAAGTCGGGAGTTGCGCTAATCATTAAAAGTGACAATCGCGGGAGATGCATATCGGCGTATCAGTTGATCACAGTGTTTGTCGTTTACTTTGATTTCTAGATGAAGCCACTGCAAAAACCAGAGGATAGTTAGACATAGCATAACCGACGTGATCACGTGAGGCGACGTCCGTTACTGCTCCACGGACTTGTGCCGTATCTACCTCGCCCTTACCTGCAACATCCGCCGTGCTATTGTGATGAGACAAAGTCAAGCCAACTGGTGCTCGGCATTGTTGTTGTTGGGCCTTTCCATTGTCATTTAGCCCATGTCTTTTTTGATTATTCCATGGCGCCGTTTGATGCACAGCCACTGACTTCTCCGCATCAGTAGTCTATCCGACTGTTGAGCGGTAGGGAACAAAGGGACCCGCGCTCCGCCGCACACCCGCCTTGGTTGAGCTATAATTCGTGCAGTCGTGTGGAAGTAGGAAGTTGTGTCCACTAGCCTTGGGTACTTTGGTTTTTGTCCCCACGTGTTGGATGTTAAGTATTTGTCCTTCGGTTCTACGGTTGGTTTTTATTTTATGTCATGTTTTGGTATGGTGAAGGACATGAGAATGAAGACGGCGGAAGTGAGTTCACAACCGCGTTCCCTTCATTTGCCATCCGGAATGTTTCGGTGATTGTTTCGCTGTCCGTGGCATGTCATCATCCCATCATGTGGATGCCTAATCATCAGCCTTAGTCGTGACGGATATTTTAGTTTAAGCATGGCTTTCCAGAGTCTAATGCGGTTTACTACATCGAATGCCTCCTCCAGGTCCAGAAGGATGGTAGTAGTGCTAGGTCTGCATTCTGTGGCACTTTTCCCGTAGTCGAGAGGCCTCAGATATCATGTTTGCTGGCCTACGATGCTTTCGGAACTTGGGCCCTGTTCCTAGAGGACATGACTGGCCGGGATTCATGTTCAGGCGACTGCGAAGGTTTTGCCTGCACTTTTGAGGGGGACATTCCTCCGAGTTTGTCCCAGACATGCCAGTTACCCTTGGGTTTGTATATGGGAAAGTAGGTGGCATTCTCGAAGGCCGTCGTATATTCAAAAATCATTGAGGCGAGCTTTCCGTGAATTAATGGTCTTTGTGTACGAATGTAGAAATAAAAAGCAATGGATTCTGGATACGCATTAACAGGCGTTTGAGCTAAATTTAACAGTAATAAAAGTCAGGAAATGCAAAGGTAAGTCTTTAATGGGTATGTCTGTATTTACATTAGTTTGTAAACACTGGTTATGGTCCGGATGCTTCTGACAATCTTTAATGTTCTGAAGTGTTGGACTGCGACTGTGCAGATGTATTTTACTCCGTTTTTTGTGTGAATTCCCTCTGCAATAGGGATTGCACCACCCAGTGAGGTAATTGGAAAAGGCTCTAGTGG